AGTTTATGCGAATAAGAAATAGCATAACATATAGCATAAGCACTGTAACACGACAATATTAATTGGGTAATAAGTAAATAAAGGTTTACTTTCTCGATAAGTACTTAATATTGGCGAAAAACTTAACACGTACGGAGATATAGCTAATTGTTGTTCAGTTTCATTAGCTAATTGTAGAACCTCCTCAGTGACAGAAAATTGAGAGTTGAACACTTGCAAGGAACTAATACGCATTATGTAAGTATTGTGATTTTACCATGGATCTTCAGGCAATTGCGTAACCACAGGCTGTTCATTTGGCTCATCCAACTGTACAGTTTCGAGCTGAAAAAAGTCAGCAGAGGCTAATTCGTATAGATTTGTGTTGCTATCCTCCTTTTGGAGCTCATCCAAACGACTGGCTTCTCCGAAATTTATAGTTGAATTATTAAAATCGCCATTCATATCATAAAATGAGGTCTAAACAAAGAAAGACATTCCAGTGACTCAAAAAAATGGTTGAAAAAGATAATGAATTACGCACATTATTTAAATATTCTTCTGGTAATGTTATATCTTCAAGTCGAGCTTGGTGGAGCATGCATGAGTCCTAGTCATAAATTTATATTTAGTACAAACCAGATCAACCTCTAGGGAGAGATTGCATAGTTCTGCCGGAAGACCGGTGTCAAATGAACGCGGATACTCGGGCAAATCAAAAGTGTTCAGTAATCCGGGACTAAATAACAAGCCCAAAACCGTATTTTTTATAATAATTAACAAAACTATAAACGAGCAACTGGAGAACACTTTACCTCGAATGGGGCAAATCAACAGAATCTGCTCTAAACATTAGCTGCGACTTAACCAAAAGAACCTGGAGATCTTCTAGCAACAAAGGGGGGAAATACAGTAGGCAAAGTAATATATGAATTAATAATTATAAATAAAAACCAAAGAAGCGGCGCTATTTACTAACTTAGTTAATGTCTAAATTGCCAGATCTTCATTGAAATAATAATCACGAGGACACTTCGTTTTTTAAGACTTGAAAATGGGATTTTCAAGACGAATAAAGGTCCCATTCTGTTGCATTAACTTGAGCCCTGTTTGCCAAAAATTAAAAAAAATCCAGACTGATGCTTCCACGTTGTCTGTGTCTAATAAACAACCCCAACAGGATTCAAAATTGGCTCGTCTGTTTGAAGCAACATATCAAGACTAAGCTGCGTAGATAGAGAAAATGAGGTAGGGATACGGGAAAGTCTGAGAGATCCGATAAAAGTCCACTTTATTGAGAAAACCTTGCACGAAGCCAAATGAAATGCAACAAAATGAGACGACCTTATTTAATTCCAGGTAGCTCAAACACCAGACGTAAAATAATCAGGATTTTTCCCCAATTTACTATTAAGCAATAGATTGAGAAAACTTTGTTCACCTAAATAATACAGTATGCTAGTCTTTAGATGACTTAATTAAAAGTTGATTTAATAAATGATAGGATGAAAGAGCTTAATTTGCAACATTCCGACTAGTTAGAGATGATTGTAATTTATTTTCTTAGGAAAAAAGATGGATCCGAATGGAGCCATCCGAAATTGCAACACACAAGTTCATCAATTGACTTATACTAGTGCATGTGGTTCATCATAGGAGCGAATGGCCCAAAAAAATTATTTGCCTTATTATGATAATTTAGCTCAGTCGCTGAAATAATGTTTTGAGCTAGCAAGTAAATTTAGGAAATTGATAATGGATGAGTCTACTTAAAGTCCTAAATTCATTATAATCTATTCATAGCCCGAGAGATGTTAATCCAAACACTTTCAGATGAGCAGATGAAGAACTTTCATCAATAAAACTAAGACATGATAAAAAATGACAGAGGATGATTAATAAAAGTGGGTTGACCTCACTGTCTCAACTTGGTCTTGTTGTCAAGAGGGCGTAATAGAACGCACCTAGTCCAACCGATCTACCGTCAACCAACTAGCTCCGGTCCCCGCCGTCTCTATCCTATTTCTATCCCTAATGATTTGCCATGACTTAGTCTCTTGTGTGTCAACCCACAAATGTTGTAGTACAGCTTGTTTTGATTTGGTTCAATGTTGAACCACAACATTTGTGGGTTGGGTATTCAAGAGACTAGGGCATAGGAAGTAATAGGTTTTGTATTCTAGATAGATAGAGTGGAAGCTAGAGTTTATTGGCTAAAAAATATAGTCGTGATTCAAGGATCACGTTTAAGATCAAACGCGCCCATTAATAGCTAAACAGCGTAGTCTCCACCTCGTCATTCCTGTTTCTATCTGATAATACCATGAATATCACTTTTTATGTGTGCCAACCCACAAATGTTGTGGTTCTACTTTTTCTGCTAAGGCTCACTGAAGACGTTTCCTCTTGGCTTCTGATTCTACCTTTCTCATCCCCTTGCGATCTCTTTTCCTAAAATTAAGGATGTTACC